GTGGAAGGGAACAAACCTGGTGTTGCGCCTTCCTACTGCTCCAACTCTTTCACTTTAGTTTCCTCTCAATCCCACTCCTTCTGGCTCCCGGGCCAGAGAGCATGTTGAGCACCTTGACACCTTTTTTATTTGTCTTGCACAAAAGTCTTCCAATATTTTACCACTACAGACCTTACTAAAATTTTCCCCTTCTGTTTATTTTCAGGAGATGGAGGTATGTTATTCAACTCCCAATGGCTGACCATGTATATGGCTTAATGTAGTCATAATGGCTACAGGCATTTTGTGTTGCTCTGGTAGGCTCTCCTGTTCTTTAGCTTTGTTTTCACTTGCAGTTTGTTTGTTTAGAATTTGTGGAAGTAATTTCCTTACCAAAGAATGACCTGATGAAGAGACTTGAAGGTAAGCTTTCTTGAGATTATTACCTAACTTTCTCTAGTTTCCCCCTCCCCATCCCCAGCAAAGGGGAACTAAATAGAACTGTTTCTTTATATTCTTCCTCCTTAAAGTCAAATGCTTAGAAACTATTGTAAAACTGCAGTTGGCCAATAATAATTTTCCTTTCCAGTGGCATAGAGTTTGAAAATATGAAGAGAACATTCCATGACAGTGAAAGCTTTCAGCAGGGGGGCTTTTTTTTCCCTCCTATAGAAGAGTCAAGATTGTATTCCTACTAATTGGCCCAAACTATTCTGTACCCTAAATCTTTAACCCATGGCAATGCAGAGGCACAAATAGATATCACTTAGCTGATTCTCAAATATGCTAGTATGTAAGATGGTTCTTTGTGCAGGGTATAAGTTAAAGAAGAACTGAACAATTATTCCTTCTGTAAATATTGATATCTACTATATGCTAAGTGCAATGTGCTAATATAATGAACCATACTAACTAGCAGTGTGACCCTTAGTAAATTACTGGTCATGTAGTTACATTGTATAATTCCTGGCCAGCCCATCTCTTAGGGATTTTGTAAAATAAATAAATAAATAAAGTTATGCGGACAGATGTCCTTTGATACAAGTACATCAGGACATACCGTACTGAAGATATGACGAGGTTTTTTAAGAAGCTCCTCTATGCAGGCTGGGCAGGTGCCTATTCACTCATTTCATTTTTATTTCAAAAATTAATTCAAAGCACTATTTGACCTGAAGCTTTGAGAGCAGTCTCTTTCTTCCTCCCTTAAGTACCAGTGGCTTACAGTTTTATTTCTAATGTCTGTTGCTAATTTGAAAAGTAAAGTAGATCTTTCAAAAACTGCTGTGATTTCAGATTCCTAGAAAGTTTCCATTCCTATTTTGCTGTTTTAAAAACTAGACCTAAAGTAAAAGCCACCCCCAGATTCAAAGTCAAATTTAGAAATTCTCGTACTAAAAAGACTCAATAATTTATTAGGTATTTCCTCAGAGAAAGCCGTGGCCATCAGTTATAGGCAAGATTTAACTTTGAGTCTGGAAGATCTGACTGGATTAGAGGATCAGCTGACCATGTGTTATCACAAGTTTCATAGCCCCCCTAAGCTTTTCTCATATATGGAACAATAGCCCCTAGGCAGCATGAGTAACAGTAAATGGCATAATGTTGACACATAGTGTTTAAATGTTACATGCTTTTTTTTTTAAATATCAGAAAATTATTTTTAAAATTCTTTCCTTCTCCCTCTACCTCACTTAACTTCCCTTCTGGTTGTAGGAGAGGGGGAAATACAGAGCAAGAGCAGGAGGGAGGAAGGTAGAAAGAGTTAGATGGGGGAGGGGTAAAAGAGTCAGTTTTCCTAGCTTTACTAGAATTAAAAAATAGTAATTAATCATTTATTCAACAAATCACATTTGAGAAGTAGGAAGGAAGGTTTTTGAGTTCAGTTTGCTACAAGGAATAAGCTTTCAACACTTACCAAGCACCTGCATGCAGATGAGGACATAACCCTGCCTTCGAGGATTAAAATGTCTTGGCTTGTTCCTAAACAAATGGCTAGGAAAACAAGAGACAGATTTGAAGTCTGATAACCTTCCTGAGTGAAACAGTTCTCATTAGACCTCTTTTTAATAAGATCCCAAGATCTCATTCTTGTTAGAAATCTAATCCTATCATGCACACAGTTAACTTGCACGTGCAAAATATGTATCCCCTAAGCAGTGGGAAAGACGCACGTAAACGACTGAGTAATCATTACTATATATATAGCTTCATAGTAGGAGAGTCCAATAGTGAGCTCTAAATGAACAAATGGATCTAAAAAGCTTTGCTATTTTAACACACAAAATCATCATCTCTGATATATGTGCTCCTCTGTATTTATTCTTAATTTTTTATTGTTCTCGTCTCAATGAGCTGGAAATGTAACCCTGCTTTTATATCCTTTATCCTTTCACTAGAATAAGATCTTTGAAGGCAGAAAATATCTTGTTCACCACTGTATCACCAGCATCTAGAGCATAGAGACTGGCACATAGTAGTTGCCCAGTAAATACTGACTGAACGATAAGGGGTATTGTCCTTTATTAACTTCATTGTCTAACTTGTATCCTTTGCTTCCTGTAGCTCTGGTAGCTGAAGAACATCTGACGGTGGATGCTAGGGTCTATTCCTATGCTCTGGCGCTGAAACATGCCAACACAAAGCCATTTGAAGTGCCCTTCCTGAAATTTTAAGGCTAGAGGAAAGTGTCCATGTTTTTGTAAATGAGGCCACAAGGCTGCCTTCACTAAGACTCTGTATTCAGCTAAGTTTAATGGAGATTTGAAATTACCTTTTTCATATAATAAAAACAACAAAGAATGCATGTGGTGGTATGGAATTATAATTATAGATAGGCTGTAGCCTTCATTTAAATGCAAACATGTTTCATCCATTTTTTTTAACTTCATTTGTTATCCAATCTAGTCCAAGAGATAAGGGTATTTCTATAGAAGAGAACTGAATTCTAAATTAGGTCAACTGCCCAGCAAGGCGTGGCTCAGCAGTTGAGCATCAACCTAGGATCCACGAGATTGAGGTTCGATTCCCAGTCGGGGTGTGTGCAGGAACAGCCAATCAATGACGACTCTCATCATTGATGTTTCTCTCTCTCTCTCCCTCTCCCTTCCTCTCTCTGAAATCAATAAAGACATATTCCCACCCTCAAACCCCCAACATAAAACTCTAGCTGAGTATGCTAATAACTAATTACTATATAATTGTTTAAATAGCTTTAAAAGAAACCTATATAGAGACTTTCTGGGACCCTCCTAATTGAATTATCTGCTGTATGGAATTAATCTTCGTAGCAGAGGATGTAAAATCAATAGAGTAACATTCTTAAGCAAATGTTTACATTTAGCTATTGTCATTATATCTAACCTAACTACTACTGAAGGTAAACCAGCTCTATGTAATGAAAAATGGTTAACTCCATTCACCATAACAAGGTTTAAGAGGCTAATGAAAATACAAGGCCCTTCTCTCTAAAGCAGGGGTGGGGAACGTATGGCCCACGAAATCACTTGGTCTGGCCCTGCCAAGGCAACCGCAGTCGGGACTTGAAATTCAATAAATCGAGGAGCTTTTTAACATAACTAATTTTTAAGTCAATAATTTTGTATGATCCTTGAATGATGTTACAAATATCCAAATGGTTATTGGCAGGAAAAAGATTCCCCACCCCTACTCTAAAGCATGTGGACACATTTGAGAATCTCATTTCCTATCCTTGCCTCAAAAAAGTACTTTTGTAAAATACCAAATCCATGGTAATAAGATTTATATAATTTGGCACATGGTTGTCTTGGTGTTCAAGCATGAGTGAAGCCAGCAAGGTTAGCAAGTACCAGAAACCCACTGCAAACTACTTTAAAGGAAAAAATAGGATTGTTTTTGGGTCATGCCATGCCTAATGCCTGTCATCCAAAAGGTCTACCAGGGTTGCTGGGCCATTGCCTTACCTCCTGAGCTGGGGCTCTTGCGTTAACTGTTACAGCCTCCAGCAACTCCAGGATCACTGCCTTTTCAGCTCAGCCCCCAACAGAATTCTCAGGATGCTTTCATTGGCCAGCCCTAAGTCATGATTAGAGCCCTGGACCCAGGGGTTAACCACACCCCTCAGAACCAGATAAAATCAGGGTACTAATGCCAAAAATGCTGCAATATAGTTCGTCTACAGGTTCACTGTCTTTTCCAGAGATACTTTTATGAACATAAATGTAAGATCTATTGTACTTCTTAAGGATGGAAAGAATTCTGGAACCAGAGAACTGTACAGATCAAGTCTACTCTCCCAATATATACTGTGAAAATTAAGCCCCAACTACTTGCTCTGATAGTGGCCTTCCCTTGTGCCTGTAACCCCTTTCAAAAAATCCTTATTTTTGCCCAGCCGGGTGTGGCTCAGAAGTTGAGCGTCGACCTAGGATCCAGGCAATCAAGGTTCGATTCCTGGTCAGGGCACATGCCCGGGTTGCGGGTTCGATCCCCAGTCGGGGGCGTGCTGATCAGTGACTCTCTTGTCATTGATGTTCCTCTCTCTCTCTCTCTCCCTCTCCCTTCCTCTCTCTGGAATCAATAAAGATATGTTTTTTAAAAATCCTTATTTTTAAACATGGGCATCATAATTCTCCAGAGATCTTAATCCTTTTCCCTCTCAAGGACCAAGTCCTCTAATTTCCCTTGTTACTACCCTACTTCAAAATCAAAAAACAAGGCATATATAAAACATATAGACTCTAGCATAGACCTGTCTCTCCAAATAGACTAGCTCTTCCTGAGCTACTCCCCACAGGAACTGAGAAATGTACTCTTAACTATTGATGCAGAGTTATTCGTAATCCATAACTGTCCTTTCCATTTTTTACTCCTCCTAAGAGTGCAATGTAGAAGTGACAGCTAAATCCTAGAACATAACCCTAATGCCACTTATGTTATCTATAAACATCAAAGGCTGTGCTTTGGAAATTAGTTGAGAATTTGCAATCTGGATGTTTTCAGCAACTGGCACTGTTAGTCAGAATTTAAAACTTGAAGGTTTCCTTTAAAAGCCATATTTTTTACCTTCTCTTGGAGAAAAAAATCAGATATAATAACACTAGGTCCCTATTTCTGTGGTTGGTCTGCAGCCCTCAGATGTTCACCAGCTGACCATCCTTGAAGTCCTGCTTGTTTTTACTTTATCTGCCTTTGGCTTTGTGATCCTAAGCTAAATAAGATATACTTCCTGCACTTACTAAGAAGGCAAACAATGATGGAAAACCATACTTCTGAAAAGGAAGCCTTTCAAAACTTAAGTCTGATCTCTTTTTGGACAATAAAGCACATATTTTAAAAATGAATTATTGATAAAGAACTGCTACTATTTCAAATGGGGGATGGGATACCATTTGAAACCACTGTTTTCCTGTTTGCAAATGTTAGTGCCATAACTGAGTAACCTTAACTTGGTCACTGTCCCTCAATATTTTAGAATTATACACTAAACTAATTACATTTGGCCTCTTGCAACAGGCATCTCAGGATAGATTTCTGTATTAGTACAATGAACCTACACAAAGCATTTAATATCACATTTTTTTATTTTTCCAACACAACTGAAACAGTTGTATTAAATAAGTTTATTGTCTACTGTTTACACTCATGTTGCTGCTGTCAAGTACAACAACGTACACAGATTCCTAGCATGAATTACTCATTGTTCACCCCCACTGAACTACAGACATTGCTTGAGAATTAGATCTCTGCTTTAGGGATTAAAAAAAAACAACTGGGGCATAATATCTTGAAAAAGCTTTCTCAAGTGACTTAGAATTCGAAGGCATAGCCAATACAGTAATAACAGCACCAACCGTGCTGTCACTGGGAAGAAAGAGGAATGGAAAACAGTAATAATTATAAGCAGTTTTTCTAGTGACAGAAGCTTGAAGAAGCTTGGTTCTGCCCATCTGGGCTAAGTGGCTGCTTTAAGAAGGGACAAATAAAAGGGGAGGAATGGAAAGGGAGGGCTGGAACGTGGATACTATGAGTTTAAAATGTATAAAAAGTAATTATATCTAAAATATAGATAAGCCCAAAATACTGAAAAGTGGCAATCTGAACTATATTTATTTTTAAACAAGTGGGGGGAATAGTGAGTGTTTTGAATGTTGTGTGCAAAACTGATCCACGTTACCTCACCGTCAAAACTGAACACGGCAAGGCGGGTACATTGGTTTCCAGCATCACAGGCAACACTACATGTATGTTTTCTAACGAATAATGTAAACTTCGGTTTTAAGGCAGCTGGTACTAATGCTGCACACAGGCTTAGCTCGGTGCCCATTTCAGAAATGGGACAGTTAGCACTTGGAAAAAAAATGAGGGGAGAAAAGGGAAGCCAGCATTATTTGACAAAAACAATGTGTCAAAATGTTTTCCTTTCACACAAAAAAAGTACTGGAACATTTAGAAAAACAAAGCACCCATCCCACCTACTTCCGCCTGTTCCTTAACAAATATTTCAAAATACTGATAAATAATAGTGACTGCGAGCAGAATTCCAGTGCCAGAGCCAATGGCCCCTAAGAAGTCGGCCAACACTGACAGGGCGCCAATGCACAAACCGCCGAATGCAGCTGCGGTGGGGATATACCTAGAAGACAAAACCAAGTCAGGCAGCAGAGGGAGCTGAAAAGGGGCAACAGAAGCAGCAATATGTTGAAGTGTGATGAATCTAATCCAACAGGGAACAGTCTGCAGTACTGATGGGTTCTCCACAGCATTTACATGTTGATGAAAACTGACTAAGGGAATGACTTACTCCCTGATTTTGAGAAACTAGTAAATAGCCAAGAAAGGCAATACATGATTCTGATGACAGATTAGAATCCTCAACTAGATTTAAGTAGTAAAATGTTTAATACTATTTTAAAATGGATAACCTGTAGCTCCCCCTTCTAGATGAACAGTAAATTTCAAAATGATTTCTAAATATCGTATTTATGTCACAAGATCTGGATAATCCTCTTCCAACAGTACCTCGACCTTGGCTGCACATTAGAATCACCTGGAGAACTGTTAAAAATAATGGGATTGTATTTAAAATACTCCAGGAAGAAGGAGGGGGAAAATGGATTGGGGGAAATGGTAAATGAAACAAGAATGACAGAATATAACTACTGTAGCTGGATACATTTGGATACATGCAGATTCATTATACTGTTCTCTACAATCTATGTTCTCAATAAAGTTTAAATATAAATCCTAGTGCCTTTTCAACAAATAATTATGTAACAATTGGATATCCACATGCAAAAGAAGGAATCTGCCTCTCACCAAACACAAAAATTAGCTCAAAGTGGATCACAGACTGAAATGTAAGAGCTGAGACTCCTAAGATAAAAAGAATAAATCTTTGTGACCTTGAGTTAGGCAGTGGTTTCTTAGATACAACACCAAAAGCAGAAAAAAGCATCCAAAGATAAGACAGATCTATTAAACTTCATCAAAATTTAAAACTTGTGCATCAAAGGGCACCATCAATAAAGTGAAAAGGCAACTCAGAGAATGAGACAAAATACTTGCAAATAACATACCTCACAGAGACATCCAAAATATTTTTTAAACAATCTTACAACTCAGTAACAATAAGAAAATTCAAAATGAGCAAAAGAATTTAAAAGACATTTCTCCAAAAGACAATACACAAATGGCTGATAAACACAAGAAAAGATGCCCAACATCATAACTCATCAAGGAAAAGCAAATCAAAACCACAATGAGATACCACTTCGTACCCACTAGGTGGCTATATGCTCATCAAAAACAAACACTAATGCTGGAGAGGATGTGTGGCAATTGGAACCTTCATACAGGTACAGCCACTCTGGAATATAATCTGGCAGTTCCTCACCAAGTTAAAGTTACTATATGACCCAACAATTCCACTGCTGGAAAAATGAAGACATATGTCCACACAAACCTTCTACAAGTATGTTCATAAGAGCATGGTGGCCAAAAAGTGGAAACAAATATCTATCAACTGATAAATGGATAAATAAATGTATTACCCACACAATGGAATATTATTAATGGATGAACTCTGAAAACACTATGCTAAGTAAAAGAAGCTATTCATAAAAGATCACATATATGATTCCATGTGTATGGAATTTCCAGAATAGGCAAATCTAGAGACAGGGTAAAAAGTTGTTGCCTGGGGTTGGAGAGACAGGAGAACGGGGTTGGAATAGGAATTAACTAATGAGTACAAGGTTTCTTTCTGAGCGGTGGAAATGTTTTCAAAATTAGAGTGGAATGATTACACACTGAATATACTAAAAAAATTTTTAAAAATAAACACTAAACCATCTACTTCAAATGAGTGAATTACAAAGTATGTGAATTATACCAATAAAGCTGTTTATCAAAAAATTGATGCCTGGGACCCACTCCACACCAAATAAATCACCATTCCTGGAGGTGGGATATTAGTTTTTAAAAGCTCCCAGGTGATTTTATGTACAGCCAACCAACAATGAGAACCTCCTATCTACAATACTTTAACATTTCGCTGAACTGTGAAGGGGAACACAATTCCAAATAAAATAATTGTCATTTTGATGTAGAGAACAATAAAATTTGTGTTAAATTTTGGTCCTTTTTGTGATGTAGAAATGCTTCAAATATGACTTCAAACAAATAAAGAATAATATTTGGCAAGAAATTAAAGATTGAAAAGCTGAGTATATGTGCCTGCCCCCCACCCCCCAAAGATGAAATCTAATGACCTTACTTACCTATTAAGCTCATGAACCATAGAGGTATCTCTGTGGCCCCTCATCACCATTTGCTGTTCTTTAAGCTGTTTGGCTACCTGTCAAGAGAAACACAACTTTTAAAATCAAACTACTATCTCACTGTTCACTCTCTACCAGGTTCTATGTGAAGTGCTTTCCACACACTAATAAGTAAGATACAAGAACGCTGAAGTAGGTACTGTCATATCATTCCTATTAAACATGAAGAGACTGAGGCTACAATACTGCACAACCATGTCACCCATAAACTAAATCAATGTTCTCAGTCTTTTTTCACTATCACCTCCCTTAAAAAAATTAATACTAAGGAATAAGATTTTGTCAGGTAGAGTTGAGCTTTGGAGGGTCACAAACCATTGTAAAATCTATAAATGTTTCACCTACCAGGAATCAATTTTTACCTCCCTGGGGGGTGACAGTACGTCATTTTTAATGTATCAAAGTTTAAATTACAAAAGTAACTAAGATTTGACACCGAAAATTTATAAATTATTTTTAAATAAACCACATACTTACATCTTTGGCTGAGGAACCAGATACCTCTATCCACGTCTTAGAAAAGAATGCACATGATCCCAGCATGAAGATGATATAAACAACAACATGGACAGGATCCTCAAATATGGCACCCATGGACTCCGGAGGAGAAAGATAATAACAAAGACCTCCCACTGGGTAAGAGCGAGCAGGTCCTCCTCCACTGACATCCTACAGAACAAGAATGAAAAGAACAAATGTATGCTAACTTTTTTATAACTTCAAACTCCTCAAAAATTATGACAATGTTTTAAGCTCAAAGCACCTACAGCTAATGGCTATATATAACTTAAGGATTTGCTTTTGTATCTAATATCTTCACTCTTTCAAAATTTTATAGTGAGTACCACTTACATAAGGATGTGAATATATTAACAGAACAGCTATTAAAAAAACACACTATAATACATCTATAAGAATCTTCTCTTCCCAAAGACAGAAACAGGACTACATTTATAGTCAATCTCTGATTACATTTAGAATCTGCAATTTTTTGAACTATATAAGGGTATGCAACACATTAAGACCCTTACACATGATTCTTTCATTTCCAAGTATTCTGTTAAGAATGCAATCAATCAGCCCTAGGCAGTCTTGCTCAGTGGTTAGAGGGTCGGCCCTCAGACTGAAGGGTCCCAGGTTCGATTCCAGCCAAGGGCACATGCCTTGGTTGTGGGCTCAATCCCTGGCCCTAGTCAGAGCACATGTGGGAGGCAAGCAATCGACATGTCTCTCTCACATCAATGTTTGTTTCTCTTTCTCTCTCTCTCTCCCTCCTCTCCCCCCACTTCCGCTCTCCCTGAAAAGCAATGGAAAAAATATCCTCAGTTGAGGGTTAAAGAAAAAAGAATGCAATCAATTGAAATACTGACAGAAGTCTAACAACTCACTGCCTAAGCTTTATCTTGTTTGTATATTATAAATCTTCTGATAAATATATACAATGGGATTTTGTTGTTGTTGTTGTTAGGAAGGGAGAGGGGGAGAGAGAGAGAAACATCAATAATGAGAGAGGCCGGCCAGGCGTGGCTCAGCAGTTGAGCAGCGACCTAGGATCCAGGAGATCGAGGTTCAATTCCCCGTCAGGGCACATGCCCGGGTTGAGGGCTCCATCCCCAGTGGGGGGTGTGCAGGAAGCAGCCGATCAATGATGCACTCATCATTGATGTTTCTATCTCTCTCTCTCCCTCTCCTTTCCTCTCTCTGAAATCAATAAAGATATATTAAATAAATAAATAATAAATAAATAAATAGAGTCATCATTGATTGGATGCCTCCTGCATGCCCCCAACCGGGGATCAAACCGCGATCTCCTGGATCCTAGGTCGAAGCTCAAGTGCTGAGCCACATCCGGCTGGGCATACAATGGGATTTTTATCCACACAAATATTTAAGAATTTGTATAGTAACAGAAATGGGAATGGCATGTATTTGCTCATATTAAATTAAAGTTCTGGAATATAGGGTGTGGGAAAGCAATTTCTGGTTGCAATGATTAAAATATCTGATTCCTGAATTTATCATTTCCAAATGATTCCTTTACTGTGCCTCTAGAATTACTATTACCAAATCAAAAGCACTGTTTATAGATAAATTCAATTTCCCAAGAATTCTCTCATTAAAAAGGATCTTAGTCAAGGTCACAGTATGCTCTCTACAACCATTCAATGCATTTATTACTTTGAAATTATTATAGTAATAATCATAGCTGGACTATTAGTTCACGAGGGGTGAAAAAGATTCCTCCACTCATTACAGGTAATCAAATTTATGTTGAATGGAAAAGAAGTATTATAAATAGAGCGAATCCTATTTCCTCCAACTAACATTCAAGAATCACTGTCTTATCCTGTTAAAGTTTAAATTTCTTTTTAAAATTACCTTCAGTAAAAGAAATATATCAGTCACTGTAAGTTATAATGTAAATGATACCATATTAAGATAAATGCACATAATAGCACATTTCAGTATAATGACTAAAAAATAATATTCTTTAGTGCAATACAAATTCTAGAATTATATACTCTGCAAAAGAATAAAGGACTTGGCATTTTTTAATTCTATAATTTTAAGGGAGAAAAATACTCCTTGGTAAGGTGATAGAACTTAAATCAATCAAAATTCAATCCTACAATAACAATGTGGCTGGATTGCTTTAGAAGCTATAACAAGGAACCTATAAAAGGAAGTCAGAATTTACTGGATTCTATTTCTAGCATCTGTTCTCTCTTCAATCTAATAATTACATGCCTGTCTCTAGCCCAGTTAATAACGCAAACTAGTTTATTGCCATTCAGGCCATGAAAAACAGAGGAAAACAGGAAAGGATAATTTCTGTATCCCATATATTATCAACAAATAGCTTCTTTTTAAAAAACATTATTGTAGACAATAGTGGAATGAGATTACAAAACAGAGAATCATGAGAGCCACTGTGATGTTAGCCTAAAAGATCACTCCAATGAGATGTGAAAATGCTTCCTGGTTAAGTGGCTCTTAAAATGTTATAGCAACTACTTCAATTATGGCTCATCTCTTTCAGTTAAAAATATAACCATGAAATGCACACTACAATAAATGTAAACACTTAGAATAAATGACAAAATACTCACTGCCCACTGTCCTAGTAAATTAACTAAAAAGTTGCCACTGAATCGAACAGACAGCATCTGGGAAATAACATAGAGGTTTGACACTAAGGCCGACTGAAGAATGATGGGGATGTTCGAGGTGTAGAAGAGCTTGATGGGGTAGCTGCTGTACTGTCCTCGATATCGGGCCGACTTGATGGGCAAGTCAACACGAAATCCCTACAAAGTGAAAATTAAAGGGTAAAAGGAACTATACATATCACGTAAAGAATACAGAGAGCCAAAGCAGTTAACAGTAGGGAGTATGAAAAGATAATGCTAATAAAATGGAACCTTTCCACACACAGACATACAACGAGAAATCCCTATTTCATTTTCATTCTAGTTTTTTATTTACACGTCAGAGTCTAAAGAAAGGAATTACTTCCTTGGCTAGATTTTGAAACACTGTCTTATTAGATCCTAACATTTAAATGGCATTCTTCTCTTTAAGAGCAAAATAAAAATCCACATCCCACTTACTTCAGGAGAGTGTACTTACCTGAAAATATATAACAACAGCAAACACAAAAACGGTAGCAATGAGGTTCATGAGATTGGGTAAGTTCTGACGGTAGAAAGCCTCCCTTAAAGCTCGGACTTTGTCAGTCCTGGTGGCCAGTAAATGAAAGAGAGCAATGACTGCACCCTCAAACTCAGTACCTGATAAACCAAGAGAAAAATTAATTAACTGTAGACACATCACTCAACATTGTCCCAAAGGCCAAAACAAATAACCTTGAAACTCCAATACACAGCAGAAAAAATGAGTCAAAATAATTCATCAGTATTTATGATATAGCCATATGTATAGCTTCTAAAAATATTTAGATCATTGAGGCAAAATGTACGTTTTTTAGAGTAAGTTTGAAGTTTTCTCAAGAGACTGTTCTTGAAAACAACCAAAGTAGAGTAAAACAAAAAAATATTTAGTTCCTAACACTTTGCTTCTCCTTTACTTTCAGGAAGGGAAGAGAGTATTTGGGGGGAAGGGCAGGGGCGGCAGCAGCAAAGCAGAGTAAAGAGGTCAGATTCCAAAGATATATGTTACTCTATCAAGCTTGCCTTCAAGTTTATTCTCCCAGGAACATTAATAAACCATTGTTGCTATTTTCTTAAGGCTGGGATCAGTTTAGATGTTAGCCATTACAAATCATTAGAAAGAAGTGGAGATGGGTAAGGGGAAAGACAGAATGAAATATTTCAAAATTTAGGTGCTATTACCAAGCCAAGTAGAATAGCAGCAAAAGTATTAGTGTTTCCCGATGATACAAAGATTAACAGTTTTTTCATCTGAAAAATCTTAATCCACTACCTTTTGATGCCCCCAGGAATGCTGAAATTGGTCAAATCAATGAGTTCTACAGCAGTGGCTTAAGCAAATAAAAATTTTGAAATGTTTGCAACACTGAAATTTTAAATAAGCAGATGCTAAAATTTAGATATTCTTTTTTAAGTACTATTTCATACTCCACAAATCTCTCCTTATTAACGTTTGAACAATCAGCATTAATTTGTCCACTGGAACAGCAAACCCTGATGTCTACAGGCATGTACTGCTCATTACGTGTTACTTTTCAACACCCATCCAGAAACACTCGTGCAGTCACAGACACTGTGCAATGTACCTCTGCCAGTGTTAATAGTAGTGGGACTAAAGGCCTTCCAGACAATGGTTTCACAGATGTTGGTGGCAATAAAGAGGGAAATACCAGACCCCAGGCCGTAACCCTTCTGTAGCAGCTCATCTAACAGCAGCACAATCAAACCAGCAACAAACAACTGTGGGGAAAGAAATGCAAGTAAGCAGAAGCAAGAAAAAACTCAAGAAAGGGGAAGACAAGCACCAGTGACTATTTTCAAAGTATGGACATGTCTAACATTCAAACCTAACAGTTACAATATCACTATTATGACTCTGCATCTTTTAACACGCTTTAATTTAGTCAGAAGCTAATTCTGAAAATCAGATTGGAAATATTGCTAAGTATTATAGCAGACCTTTTAACTTGTAAGTTTCTCTTACAATAAGGGAAATAAGGCTTATTCCTTTAAATAAGGCTTATTGGAAAAAACATTATAAAACAAAAATGTTCACAGTTGTAGAATTTATGACAGCGAGAAACTAACATATATCCCAGATATCTCCAAGTAAGTGAAAGGCCAAATGAATTATAACAAGGTACAACTGTACACTGCCATGAAAGGAAAAGTATGTGAACTATGTTGATACATTTTTAAAATATTATACATAGTATTGTAAATATTGTGAATGTATGTTATATATATCTATAGAATAAGTCCAAAAGTAAAGCACAAATACACAGATTATAACAATGTATATAAGCATTCTATACATACAGCGACAGATTAAATGTAAATTTGAAGACAGTTAAGAGTTCACAGGTTCCTAAGTTTGTAAGTTTTAAAAAATAAAAGCATACTAACTTTATGTGAAATTGAAAATTCTTAATTTTCCTCTTGGATAAGACATTTCTATAAAAGCATGCACCAATCAAAAATAAGCCCTAGATCCTGGGGGGTGTGGCTTAGAGGGCTGAGTGTTATCCTATGCACCGGGAGGTCATGGGTTCGATTCCAGGTCAGAGTACATGCCTGGGTTGCAGGCTCAATCCCCAGTAGGAGGCATGCGGGAGGCAGCTGATCAATGTTTCTCTCTCACTGATGTTTCTATCTCTCTCCCCCTCTCCCTTCTTCTCTCTGAAGTAAATAAAAATATGTTGTGTTGTGTGTTTTTTAAAAAAATAAGCTTAGACTTGAAAGTGACCTTGGTCATATGACTCCTTGCCTGCGCTTCAGTAACCTAATCCAACAAGAAAAAAAATACACTTTACCCCATCTCACACCTGTCCCCACCCTCCTACAGAAGAAAATGCCACTCCCATTCCTCCCAGCTCTGAAGCATCCCCCCCTCCTCATTATTTACTCAGTTTCCCTGATATTCCCATTAGAAGACAGAGCAAACAAACTACAGTACACCATATTAAGCATGCTTACCTTACACAGGGTTTATTTTTCCTTAACTGTCATTTCAATGGTTGTACAGAGCCTAACTTGTCTATTGACAGTCTTTTAGTTTAACTTTCAATGGACTGGAAAAAGTACAATTCTCAAAACTTCTAAGTGAGTTCATGAATCCTTTACTGCCTTTACTGTTTGACATTTTGACAAGATAAAAGAAAAGTTAGGACTTACTATTGAGATTTTATTTTGACCACAATTACGTAATAAATAAATACTTTCAATCATACAGAAACCCGTCTGTGCAGGGGATAATAGCTATCCTCGAACTATCAGCCAACCAAAAAGCATTATCATGGGCTTCTGACTAAATGACTGATTAAATGGCCTGTCCGGAATCACATGGGCATCTCTGAATCAACTGTAATTCAAACCACCTATTCAGCCCAATGTCCATCAGATTAGAGTGATTTCTGTATATCCTAAGAAAGTCAAACTCATTTTTCTAACTGGAGAAAGGAATTAGAGAGAAACCTAAATGAGAAATGGTTTCTATAATTAAAGAAACAAGATAAAAAATGGTAAAAAGCACATACATGACTATGAGAAGAATTATACACCAGGAAGTTATAGCATCTCACTGACTAGAACAGAGATAAGAACTGAATACTAACTGTATGCTTTTAAGGCAGGCATAAAACTAACATTGTACATTTCAACCCTACACATGCATTCACACGCAGACACACAACTTAGTTTGACAAAAAAATACTTACCTTTACAATGTGCCATGCACACTGATAGTTTCAATTCTTTTTTTATTTTAATCAAGAACCACTATTTAGATTTCAAAACTCACTAGTTGAAAAACACTGACCATGTGAATGAAACAAGAATAATTAAGGTGAGAAATACCTTACATAAGAACATGCAAACTGTTTTTAAAACCTATGTTTCTAGGTAAAAACATGCTGATCCAATCATATCTCTTCAGTGTACCCACACATTTTCAGTGTTAGCAATGCCTTAAAAAGAAGCAAATGGGTCATTACCCACCCATGATTAAACATGACATATTTCTCTATACATTAACACTAGAAGAATTTACCATAAACACAATTATTTGTACACTAGAATTTATGTAAACAAATTAATATATATTCACTGTACTTGTTTCATTGCTGGAATATAACTATTCCTGGGTTTGCAACACTGAAAAAACATTAAAATTGCTTAATTCTATTTTATATCAATTTAAATCTCTAATGCTTTAAGAAGTCAATACTTTAACCCAGAACTGCTCAATTGAGGTTCCATAAAATCTAAATCTAGCCTTACTAAAATACTAGGAAAATTTTACTGATGCATAATTTTAAGAGATAGGTAACAATTCTGAGTATCTTTTAAAAATCAGGGTTATTCTAAACTATGGGTTGCATAAAGCAAATGCTAAAGAATAAAATAAAAAATAAAGCAACAATTAGTATATCAATATCTTCAACAATGCTGAAAGCATATGAAGAAATTTTAAGCACTGAAAGTTATTAAACTCAGTTTTTATTCAATGTTCTCTTCCCATCCATTCCAATGCTTCTTTCTCTAATTCCCAAGGGCTATAAATATGCCAATCAAGTGTTTTTTAAATGGAGAAGCAATGACAACGCTATTCTTTAAAGAAATGTACTTTATACCAAATAGTAACATACAGGGGCTCAGAAAACTACCAAAGTTCTAATTACCCATTAAAAATGTCTCCCCTTGTCAAAAGACCAAATGTTTCCATCTCACTAGAAAAGCCCTCTCTATTTTGTTGTTGCTGTTTGTTTTAAGTAGCTTAAAACCACCTAAATTTATGAGCTTATAATTCCGTAGATCAGAAGCCTGGGCAAGCTTGACTGGGTTCATTGCATCATCTCCCAAGGATGAAATGAAAGCATCAGCTAGCCTAGGCTCTTATCTAAATGGTCTAGGGAAAGATCCACCTCAAGCTCATTCAGAATCAGGTCAAAATCCAGTTCCTCGTGGACTGTAGGTCTGAAGTACCTGTTTTCTCCCTGGCTGTCATCCAAGGACTACTCTATTCCTGGAAGCCACCTGCAATCTTTCTCACGTGGCCTCTGCCATCTTCATGGCAGCAAGGGCAAGTCAAGTTTCTCATGCTTTGAAGCTCTCTGACTTCTTCTGCTCGCCCTCCCTATTGTTAATGATGCCAGTGTATACCTGAACAGTCTCTCTCCTTATCTGGAATCATGCTTGCTAAACGATCTTCCTATTATGATCTCCTCGCTAAATAGGGTTTCTTATTTTAAAAAAGAATGGTCAACCATGCAGTCTGAGATGCTCATATTTCTTAATACATATATAAATAAACTAGTATTTTTATTTTATTTACAACTATTTTTCTAACCTTGGTCCTTTTGACTATTAGAAAAAACTTCCTGAATTAATCCTAATTTCAGAGAGTAAGCAAGAAGAGGCATTTCCAAATAAGCAGAATTCTATCTAGATGCTGGTGTTTAATTTAAATAAACTTCTTCTCAAAATTCAATAGATAACTATGTAATTTAAGTACAATCTATCCGGGCAACTTCTCTAAATGATTTTTAAGGACTGTATGTTACAGAAATATCTACCAAACTTTACACACTTTAAGATACTTAGTAGAGGAGTAATAATGTTGGCCTTCAAAAATTTCGTTCCAGGGCACCCACTTAAAAAATTATTAGAATACATATATGGGTATTTATATAGTATTTCACTGATTTAAAGATATTACTTTTAATGTCACTATTTTGTGTACCACTAAGAAAGAAAAATAAGCTGCCAATTAAACTATGATACAACTTATTACCAAAAAAACTGATTTTCACCCAGCCAGCGTGGCTCAGAGGTTGAGCATCAACCTATGATCCAGGAGATCAAGGTTCAATTCCAGTCAGGTTACATGCCCAGGTTGTGGGCTCAATCCCTAGTAGGGGTTGTGCAGGAGGCAGATGATCAATAATGCTTCTCTCTCGTCGGTATTTCTATCTCTCTATCCCTCTCCTTCCCTCTCTCTCTCTAAAAATAAAAAAATAATTTTATTTTAAAAAGTTGATTTGGATTTAGATATAGATGTTTATAATCTAGTTTGCTCTTTCTGTGTCTTTGTACACACAATAACTTTTCATTTCAATAACAAATCACAGCAGTTTTAGAAGAAATTTTAAAAAGCAATTAAAGTAAAAAGAATCAACAACTGATGTGACAATATGAAGGGCTATGATCAAATTGACCCACATATAGGAAAAGACAACTATCATGACTGCCACCTGGCTGAGAGCAACTGTAAGACACTACAAACTGTAAGAAAACATCCTGATTTCAGACATCAAAATGTGAAAAATGCATCTTAGAATCAATGAACTACAGTTGATTCATAATTCATTATATTGCACAGCTATGAGACTATTAAAATAAATTTCAAATTTTCACATCAATACAACTGATACATATCACTTCAATTATCAAAAGTAAGAAAATGAATGTATCAGTCAATTCTAAAGAATTGCTAGAAAAAAAGAGATGAAATTGTTTTGTTATCTGCATATAAAAAATAGGATTTCTCACCTGAATAATGATAAGGAGACAGATTCCAGCACCCATTTCAGCAGGATCCCCATACATGCCCGTCATAACATATACAATGGCTTGCCCAATGGTAATGATCATACCAAATACTGAAAAAAATTGAGGGAAAAGGAGTACATTACAACCACAGACATAAAAGACTGCAGAAAAACATCTTTACCACAAAATTCCCAAATGTGAAAAGGCTCCTTAATTGTATTAATGCTCACATTTCTGGGCTCCATTGAATAAAGCTCTATCTTTGGGTGTATCTCCAACTTCAATGATTTTGGCTCCAGCTAACAACTGCATAATCAAACCAGATGTTACAATAGGGGAGATACCCAATTCCATTAAAGTTCCTGTAAAGGAAGGGGAAAGAAGAAAATGATGTTTACTATCCACATGCAGATTACTTTAGAAGTGTCCCAGTCCTTAATTACGTCTATGGAAATACATACTTAAATGTTAACAAGCAAATTTTCATTTAACATTAAATTACTTTTAAAAGAAAACCACTATTAACACAATCTTGCAACAATGCATTAAAAAATTACTATAAATACTATACAGATGTAAATTTCAGTANTTACTATAAATACTATAAAGATGTAAATTTCAGTAAATTCTAAACTTAGAATGTTAAAGAAATCTGTTGAAAGAAATCTTCCAAGATATCTGTCCAAATCATTATTTTTAAAACTTACACTAAACATTTTATTTTAATGCAAAATTAAAAATTACATTATCAAGCCCAAAAATTACATACCAAGCTAAAAAAAAAAAAGGATACTTCAAAAGCTTTGTGATTCTTACAATGCAATATATAAAATGACAGAAAGTTATCTAAAACAATATTGTAGAATATTTAGTGGCACAAAAAATGTTCTTGACATAGTGTGTAAGGGGAAAAAAAAAAAAAAATATATATATATATATATATATATAT